TCTATCTCCTTTTAACCTGGCAAACCAAGTTTGGTTGAGTTAAGGTGGATCCACTGGGAGAGAAAAAACCTAGACAGAGTTAGAAGGTCCAACTGTGTAGTAAGGGTCTACTGGGAATTTGCAGAGGCCTCATTTAGGGAAGAATTTTACTTCTACCTCCGAGAGAGCTTTACACAGATTTCAGGGGATTTATGATTTAACTTGAGATTTTTAGTTTGTATTTTCAGAGCTAGTAATGAGCCCTGCAATGGACGGGCGACCTGTCCAGGGTGTACCCTGCCTCTCACCCATTGCCAGCTGGAGTTAGGCACCAGCACCCCTGGCGACCCCACTTGGGAGTAAGCGTGATTGAAAATGGATGGATGGAGATCTAGTAATGAGTTGCTTTCCTAATTTTGTGGAGGATTAGGAAAAAGGAGTCGGTGACAAAGAAAGAAACCACTAAAATCTACTAAATGTTATGTTGAAAGCGTTTCATAGACATAGCAAAATAGTTTGTACAGGCATTTATTGGGGCCTATTCCGGCAGTTATCCTAAGGGTTTCACATATTTTATAGCAATATTGGGTTAATATCCAATGGACTCTTTCAGAGAAATATATTGTTATATTAAGTTTGGCCTCATTGCCCATCCCTGTGAGTGACACAAAAAAACCAGTCACTCTAAAGTCACTGTAGTAACACTAAGTGGTTAACAAATGTGGTACTTAAAATTCCATTGAGAGCATTGCCAGACGTGCATCAGTTTTGTATCCTTGTTTTAGTTTAAAGTCTCTCCAAGAAGTAAATACTTTAAACACTTGTTTGAGCCCTGTCCCAAACTTGTTCTTCTTTTCTCTTCCTTTCCCCTTTGGTCAAAAGTAACTTTTTATTTTGTATTTTTAACTTTTTGGCATTAAAGTTGCAAGTGTTTGGGGTTTTTTTTCTGTCCAGAGACAGCAAGGGGAGATGACAAACCCCTCAGGCACCCCATAAACACTTAGGCCCCGTCCACACGAAGACGAACCCTGGCCTAAACGCACAAATTTTTCACCAAACCAGCCTCTCATCCACACGAAGCCGGCGTTTCGGGGGTCTGTAAACGATCATTTTTTTATTCAGCCTTCAGAGTGGGAAGATTCTGAAACGCCGTTTTCGCGTTTCCATCTTTACGCCCTAACCGCATATTTTTTTTTACACGCATGCGTCATAGCGTCGCCTCTACACACGCATGCGCGACCAGTATCACAACAACAATGGCGCCGTTGCTCATGCTACTCACCCTGCTGTCGGGCTTACAACAGAATCTTCTTCTTCTGGAATATCTCCAGGAAGAACAGAGCAATATCGACGACATAGTTCAGAACCTGAATTTCACTTAACCACGAAAATGGACCCGCAGGGCAACCATGTATAAATATTAGTGCACATGCCCAACATTTCGTCGCTTATTTTTGCTTTGGCACCACAGCGCCACTTACAGGCCTGGCATACATTTTGCAGCGTTTTCATGCATTCGTGTGGACGCTCACATTTATTTTACGTCTCCGTCTTTACGGCAAACGTTTTGGAAAATATCAGCGTTTCGTGTTCGTTTTGACTTCGTGTGGACGGGGCCTCAGATTACATCAAAGTTATATAGTTATTTGGTTCTGCTTCAGGTAGTTTGTGAGTCTGGAAAAGTATGGAAGAAGAAAATGATTCTACATTTACATTCAGTTATGCTACATTTTCTGAAAAAGCCATCTATCACACAAACGTAATCATGTAAAAAAAAAAAAATATCTTAATGTGCATCTTTGATATATGTAAAACATTTGTAAACCTTTGTGCTTAGTAAAGAAAGCCCCTATGGGAATGACTTTGAAGTTGTATGAGACAGAGAAGGAGAATTATTATGCGAAAGTCCTATCTGCCCTTTGTGCAACACACTCTTGATAACTCCTTCCTCTGTCACCACCATTTAATTCAGGATGAGTGTGCTGCCGCTCTCTCTTCTGTCACACCAGGTGGATGCTGAGCGAACTTAGCAGTTGTCTCTTTTGCTACTTCAGCTCTGTTAAATAAGATGACATAAACCAGTGTGTCACCTAAAAACCATTCTGTTACAGCCCATATGAGCTCCTCATTGTTTAATGGAACTTTTGCACCACTTGTCAACACATATACTGTTGAAATGTTTAAGAGATATTTAAAAGAAAAAAAAAAAAAAAAAAACATTTATTTGTACTTCTTTAATCCAAAATGGGAAAATTGATGTGGGAGAGCAAATTAATGCCACATAAAACAGATTGGTGAGACTCTCAGTCATCCAGGTTATAGTCATTCCAAAAAAGTTAAGAAACAATCCATTGGACTTTGTTTCCAAATTTGAAGACGTTTCATTTTTTTTTAATTCAAATTAGCAAATTGAATTTGAAATTGAAAAAGCTTCCTGGATGAGAAGCAAAACATCTTCAAACTTGGAAACCAAGTCCAGTGGATTGTTTTTAACTTTTTTGGAATGAAACAGGTTGTTACATAGATGGTGTATTTCAATGTTAAATAATAAATATTTTTCTTAAAGCAACATCTCATAACTTATGATACGCCCAATGAGATGTATGGAAGGATTTTTTTTCAGGTCAGTATACAGCACTTAGTATATATCGATGCTACATGCAGGCTAGCTTTCTCAAAAACAGAATAGAATCGAAAATCCCTTTATTTTCCCACAAATTGTGAAACAATAAAGGGAAAAAACTCGTCTATGTAACTTGAAAGGGTTTTATCCGTTGCTGATTAAGTCATGACCTGGAGCACAGCTTTATGGTAGTTTGAGCTCCCTTTAAACATGAGTTAACAAAGCTAAAAGTTGTTAGCTAGCACAAACATTATGCTCATTCTGCTTTTTCTCATAGCAGCTTTGCCTCGTCTGTTCCTGTTTAGCTGTGACACTATTCTGGAGAGAAATATCAGGTGTGCTGCTGCCATCAACACCCTTGTTTATAGATGTTCGAGATCTGCCTGTTTTTCAGTGTTGTCCTGTTTCTCTGACAGTGCTTGGCTGGATGTGCTCTCTTCCTGGACGGGGTCGCCTTTTACAGTTGCCTTTGGTATCTCTGCTTCTCTCCTTGAACCCCAGTCGGCCTCGGCAGATGGCCGCTCACATTGAACCTGCTTCTGCTGGAGGTTTCTTCCTGTTAAAAGGGAGTTTTTCCTCTCCACTGTCGCTACAAGCATGCTTAGTGTGAGGGATTGCATCCGAGTCAATGAGTTGATGCAATCAACCGTTTTTCCTTTGATAGAAAACTATGAATTAATTTGACTGTCTTGAGATGACATGTGTTGTGAATTGGCACTATATAATTAAAATGAAATTAATTGAAAAGCTATGATTCTTACTGTACCTGTTGAGACATATTTTTAGATCTCTGATGTTGGATTTAATCCACTGGAGTGAACATTTTCTTGTCTTCACAAGTAACTCTATGATTGTTATTCTGCTGGTCCAGAGTTGTCTGCTCACAGAATCCAAAACACAGAAGGAAACTTTTATTTTGCAACTTCTCTCTACCCAGCTTCTCTCAGGGGAACTAACCCTGGAAGTTACAGGTCTAGTGCCCCTAGTGGCTAAAAGTCTTGTGCCAATCATATCATTCAATGGTCAAACTAATCTTCATTATTATCAACTTAATTTGTAGAGCGCTTTAAAGCAGCTACTGCTGAAAACAAATTGCTGAACATAGCTAAAAATAATAAAGCACACTTAAAGAATAAAGTACAATATATGAAATAAGGCAAGAATAATAATTTGTTTAAGCTAAATGAAAAAGGTCACAACAACTAAATTCAGCCAGTGTTAACAGCCAGCAAATAAAAGTAAGTTTTTAGCCGTGTTTTAAAATTTGGCATTGAAGTAGCCTCCCTAACGTGCAGCCGGAGGCTATTCCATCAAAGAGGAGCAGCGATAGAGAGGGCTTTATCTTTAGAAACCGTGTTTTAGATAAACAAAAGTAAACTTGGAAAACTGTGTCAAATGCTGTTTGGGTGCACCTATGCAAAAAAAAAAAAAAAAATCCCTGCTAACAATCAGCTAAACCACCAGTGGATTTTATAGACCGTTTCAGCTTAAGCTGCACTATTTAAATACTAAATGCTACATTTAATGTATAGATTTCCTTCTAAGGATGTTTATATTTTCTACAAGTATTTTTGATAATTGATTTTATCGTTTTGTTAAAAACTAGATTTGTTAATATCTTAATTAGTTAAAAACTATATCTAGAAAATTAGGCTAAACAGGGAAGCACTGGGCCTTTCACTGGGAAAGACTAATGAATACAAGTTATTGGCAGCTCAGTCAGGAGCTCTATTAAGGAAATGAGCCACTAATGCTCTCCACGGAAAGAAAAGAAACTTAATGGCATCCATAATTTGTCAAATTTTGTTTGGAAACCAAGCTAGTTGTTAAATGTTTAAATAATTTACCATAACTACCTATTAAGGGGTATTACTATTATAACTGACTCGACTGCACATCACTAACTGGCCTCTGCAAGCGGTGAGCTCTGCTCTGCACCGCTTGTTTAGAAGGTTTGCACAGGCGAAGCTTTTGTATTTAATCAGCACAGAAAACCTCGCCTACATCTTCAGATCCTGCAGTTCAATTCCATTCTGACAGGGAGGAAAACATTTAGTTTGATAAACCGCCGCTCGCTCCCTGTGATTCCTCACCTCTAATTGCCTTTATTTTGGAGGGAGCCGTGGAACTGGTGTAGATTGCATTGAAAGTGAAACGCCTGTTTCTCTTTAACAGCCTTGATCTTTTCATCGATTTCCTGCATAATAAACTTCTCTGTTTGTGATAAAGAAACCACAATGGGGAGCAGAAGCTCGCTTTAAACAGCAATCGAGAGAAGCAGCTCCTCAGATGGTGCTGCTTTAACATTGTTGTTTTATTTTCTACAGTGTTTATCACAGGAAAAGAAATGCATGTGGAATGGATATTAAGTGTACCTTTCTTGCCTTCTGTAATGAAGTGACAGGACAGGATGCAGAGATGGAGATTGTTAGAGTGGATCACCCGGCGCTGCTCGTCCCTTCTGATGTCACAGCTATCGCTCTAGACTTTAAGGTCCTGCACCCGGTGGTGATAACCCGCCTCGGGGTGTTCTCCACTGGGACGCTAGCTGAACTTCACAGCAATGTGACGGTGAAGCTTCTGCAGCTGGACCAGGAGGTAGTGCACAAGCCTTATAGTTTTTTTCTGTGTGTGAATCCTCGTAGAAACAGAGCTTAGCGTCAGCAGGAGGACTCCATATTTTACTTTTGGGTCTGACTTAATTCTTTGAAAATTCTTGGTTTTCCTCTGCAGGAGGCAGTGGTTACAGCTCGCTTCAGCTCCATCAGCATGGGAACCATGGCAAACTGGGTGTGGTACAAACCAGTGGAGCAGTTCATCCTGCCCAAGGTCAGTTTCTCACACAGGGTGCCTCACTTCAATGGAACCAGAGGAGCAATCCCCCAGGCTTGAATCAGGTTCAAAAACCTGGATTTTCATCTTTTTATTTTATTTTGTTTCCCCTTTTAGCTTATAAATTAAATATTTATTTTTTTTGCTTATATTTATTTGTATTATTCTTTTTTATTCTTAACTTTACACATTTAATATTAACAGAAACGATCTCCAGAGGTTTTTCTCGTCAGGTTAAAGATAAATGAAGCTATATTTCCTTGTTGGGGTTTAAAGCTTTAGTTTTGCAGCTTTAGAGAAGTTTGAGTCGATGCCTGAAGTGTTGTGCTGCCCTGCCTGCTGCAACATTTTTAAATATCTTGCATTTATTCATTACTTATTGGGAACTTAACTTTGTTGCATAATGCAGGGAGTCAAATACCTACATTTGACATTAGTCTTTAATGCATTGTGGGGGGGCGGGTCAGATAGGGTACTAAAAGATTTCCCATAATTTCTTGTTGCATTTTATGGTATTTTTTGCAGCAGACAAACAGTAAAGCACATGAAAGTATGAAGATTCTCCGCTGAACTAATGCCTTTTACTTTGACTAGGCCAGTCTAACACTAGAGAAAACTTTAATGGAAACCATAAGTAGCTGAATGCTAAACGCAGCTAAATACTTTACAGGAAGTGAGATTTTTTTTTTTCTTGCTCCCACAGCTTTGAGAACCAAATGATGTTGTTTTGAAGCCTCTAATCAGCTTTTGATCCCCCGGCATGATACTGCTACCACCATGTTTAATGCTGCATTTCAGGTTTTGCTCTTGGACAACCTGAGCACCTTCTTCTTCGCTTTTGTTTGTTTACGTGTCATGGAAAATTACAGGAACAAACTGGTTGCATAAATGTGCGCACCTTTAAATCAGCAGATTTTTGATCCATCTGATTTATTCCAGCCTGTGAAAGTTGTCCAATTTGTTCTCTAATATATGCATCTTTTCCCCACTTCTCTAAGAGGTGATTCTGATTTTTCTTTAATCAATCTCCCTGAGCAGTTTAATGTGACTGATGTATGAAAGTTTAAGTATTTTACTTTTATTTTTTGTCAAATCGGAGCTGAGTATGACGTAATCACGTCTCCTGACTGAAGTGTGTTTCTTTAGGGTTTTGAGGGGACGCTGGTTTGGGAGAGTCAGGACTCTGCTCCGCTGACCACTGTCAACTCCTCCTCTGTGGAGCTCAATGATGGAGGAGGTGTCCTCAAGTTCTCCTCTGTAAGTGTTTACATTTCAAAGAAACCCACAGCTAGATAGCCAAAAATGTTAAACTTTAAAAAGTGTTTCATTTTTTTGCTCTCTCTCTCTTTTTTTGTATTGATTTGGGGAAATTCAGATTGCAGAGGGCATATTGCCTCACAGAAGTGCTCTTGGGTTTCCTGGTCTGGCTGGAGGCTTCACATTCACCATCTACGGTCAGTCCTGCAGGGAATCGAATCAGCTGCATGAAAACTGTTCGAGAAAAACCCTCCAAGAAACATCTGTTATAAAAAAGATAATCCCGATATAAAATACTTAAAATGCATTGCTCATTCTGGCAGGTTATGTTATTAGGTTTTATTTATATAAATATAAATATATATATATATATATATATATATATATATATATATATATATATATATATATATACACCTGAAGGCAACTAAACTTATACGAAATGGACACCTGCCTTTGTTGGATTATTGATTTCTGCCTGCATGTTCTTATGTCTGCTTCTGTCTGAGAATGAATTCGCAGCTATTTTGTGTGAAATGAAAGGAAATTTATTATTCAGTATTTCTGAAAACGGAACTAATGATCCATTTTATAAGATATTGCAGCTTTATCATTCCATTGACAGCCAGTAATTAGTTATCTCTTAAGGATGCATTCTTGTTTAATATCTTCCAGAATAAAAACTTTTCTTTTGCTTTTTATCCATCTCAACTTGTCTGCTTTCTTTTCACTCTGCATTACCTCCATGGTGTCGGTCCTTCCTGCACTACCTGCGCGTCAGATGAGGACGGATTGTCGGGGCTCCTGCGTGGCCGCGCTGCCAGAATGGAAAGGCATGCCTCCGGTTTGAAGCGGGAGGACGCTGCCCTGCAGGAGGAAAGCCTCAGGCATGGAGATATCGTGTTTGTAGACGTGGTGGACACCTACAGGAACGTGCCTTCCAAGTTGCTTCAGTTCTATAAATGGTATGCCAAGTGCTAATGACTCGATTTTCTGTCTCCAAATTGCCTGAGCCCTCAGAGGAAATCAGCAACCTGAAATGAAAGTGTGCCTTTGCCTCAAAATGTCTTTGTGCTAAAATTACGGCTGCAATCACTCAGTCGGAGAAGCTCCGTCGTTGTGAGTCATCAGATAGCAGGATGTACTGCCTGAGTGCTATCAGGCTTTAAATTGACAGCTGCAGTGGATCTGGAAAGTGTACACATTCCTGTTCAAACAGCACGTTTTAGCCATTTTATGAAACAGGATATTCAATATCGCCCAGGTAAAAACTTCTAAAGGAATAAATCTGCAACCAGCTGGTTGCAATAATGTGCACAACTTTAAACCAATAGACTGTTGATCCATCTGATTTATTCCAGCTTGTGAACGTTCTCCAAATCTATCACTGAAACACATCAGTTAGCTACTGCTCTCTTCAGGCAGGGTTCCTGCAGGTCCTTAAAAAGTCTTAAAAGGCATTGAATTCTTCAAAATAAAACTAAGGCCTTAATTGGTATTAAAATGTCTTAAATCAGTCTTTCGTAGGTCTTAATTTAACTGAATTCACAAACAAAGTAGATCTGACATTTGTGTGTTTTTTGCTTTCTTCCTGTATGGAAAGTTTTTCAAAATTTGAACCATTAGTGCAGTGGTTTATGTTAAAATAAACCACTGGATAAAGTTGTCGCAAGCGGGTTTTTCTTGTGTTTCTTGTGAATTTGGTCTTAAATTTTTATTTCAAGTGGCATTAAAAAGTCTTAAAAAGTCTTGAATTTAACTTGTCTTATGCTGTAGGAACCCTGTCAGTTGACCCCAGATTTTTTATTTTAATGCATTCTTTATTCTGGCTCGGCCAATGGAAGTAATTCATAGTCGATATGCACCCATATTAATGCTGAAGAATCAAACGCATTTTCTCTTCATGTTTTTAGCAGAAGGTTTTTTATCTAACAGACCGGTGTAGCTCTATTTCATCCACTTTGACCCAAAATGTGGTTCCTTTTAATGAAGAGTATCTCAAAGCGCTTGATGCCACCACTGTGTTTCATTGTGGGTAGGATTTTTTGTTTTTTAAGCACAGTGTTTAGAGTTTTGGGGAAGGGATGGCTTCTCAATGCATTACCGACTTCCTCCAGATTTACTTTCCTGCACCTGCCCTGAGGTCTGAGGCCATCTTCAGCTAATAAGGACTAAGAAGAGGCTTAAAACCAGAGGGGACAGTCTTTTTTTCTAGTTGGCCGCAGCCTGTGGAATACCATGCGCTCCATATACGAACAGCCTCCACAGTAAAATGTTTTAATTCTCTTTTTAAGACACAATTTTTCTTTTTGGCTTTAAGCACTGCATACCTGTGTGGTCCTCTGTGTTCTTTTTATTTATTCATTCATTTAAAACTTACTGCTTTTATGTATGCTATATAAATAATAAATAATGTTCTATATAAATAAAGTGGATTAGATTGAATTGGATTTTGCCTTTTGGAACAAAGTTCAACTAAAGTTCAGCTTTGAGACCAACTTAGTTTTATCAGATGATCAAACTTTCTAGAGTTTTTCATTTTTTGTTGACTTGAAGGCTGAATTGTAACTGAAGCATCCGGCGCCTTATAAAGAGAAGCAACACCAGACCATGATGCTGCCACCATCGTGTTTCAAAACAAATATAGTTTGGTTTTTTTATACCATTTTTATAGTTTGTGACCCTGACCTTAAGACTGTAACGCATTTTTCTTTGAGGTTTTAATCAGGACAAGATATTTCCTTTGGAAAAAAAGCCTTCTTACTTGCAAAGTCCCATATTAGCCTTATTTAATGACAAAGGATTTCTGGCTGACGACGTTGCAAATATTGTTAAACTCCAACCAGGTCAGCGGAGCTTTATTCAGACGAAGTAAAGTTGATGCCTGGAGGTACTCAAGTAAAAGTTTAAGGATCTGCAGCCAGTTAATTACAATAGGCAAATAATTTTTAGCTTAATTTATTTATTATATTAGCAGCCTTTTCAACAAGCTGTGATATATTAATATTCCGCTCACTCCTTTCTGCACTGTGTGTACAGAGGAATTCAATAATCCTTCCTCCATTAACAACTCATGTTGCTAATATTTCTATATTATTATTTAGCCCTAATTTCCCTCAGGGGTTTGATAAAGGACCCAGCTTATTTTTATTTTATATCGTTGTTAAATTACACAGGATTTATCACACAATTAAAGGTGAAAAGATGTTGGAATGTTTTTTTCATGGTCTCGTCTTACTTGGCCTTTTCCCAGGAGTGTTTTCACTTCTCAGGTACTCTGTTTGCAGACCTCTTGCTCTCCTCTCTCTCTGTGGTATTTGAAAGTAAATCTGCTCATAGATGTAGCAAACAGTAGGATGTTCTTTAATTAAAGTTGCAAATTCCTTTTCTTCCAGGTCCGTGGGAAACGCTGACTTCAGTCTGCTGCTGAAGACGGATGATGATTGCTTCATCGACGTGGACTCGGTGTTAATGAAAATTGACCACAAGGGTCTGAGGCGCAGAAACTTCTGGTGGGGGAAGTAAGGACATTTAAGTCTTTGATCCTGTTGATTTGTTTTGGGTTTTTACCAGTGATGTTATGAGATGAGCCGAGGCGTGTGTTGAGTAATGGAGGGGGCGTTTCCCCGAAGCGCGTGTCGAGGCGTGATACCACGTGACCGCGTTGCAAAGTGGTTCGGGAAGCACAAGAATTTTGACAGGCATCTGAACAGCCTCAGTGTTCAGTCAAGATGTGGGAGTTTGCTGTCAGCTGGATAAAGTTTGGATAGATTCTAAGAATAGATTGGTTGGAAAAACAACCAATCTAGTTGCTTAAAACTATTTTGGTTTAATTAAACAATGTAATGATCAAAATCTGAACAAGCCACCGTTGGTGTGAAAACGTTATGTTGTGTATTTTCTCCATCAAACAATTAACAATATAAGGCTTCATCTGTAAGACAGAGACTCCCTATCCTGAGGTTGATGGTTCAAGATCTACCTTTGGCTTTTGAAATTTGCGATTATACTATTATTACTTTTTCTAATGAACCTTTGCATTGGTTTGCCCTAGTAAAAATATAGATTGGGTATGAAC